CTTGAGAGAGTCCAGAGAAGAGCCACACACATGATCAGAGGTCAGGAAAACAGACCTTATGACAGGCTGAGAGCCATGGGGCTCTTTAGCCTGGAAAAGTGCAGGCTCAGGGGTGATCTGATGGCCACCTATAAGTTTATCAGGGTGACCACCAGTTTCTGGGGGAATGTTTGTTCACCAGAGCGCCCAAAGGGATGACAAGGTCGAATGGTTATAAACTACTGCAAGACTGTTTCAGGCTGGACATAAGGAAGAATTTCTTTACTGTCCGAGTCCCCAAGGTCTGGAACAGCCTGCCATCGGAGGTGGTTCAAGCACCTACATTGAACACCTTCAAGAGTAAATTGGATGCTTATCTTGCTACATTTCCTATGATTCCAGCTGACTTCCGCCCCTCAGGCAGGGGGCGGGACTCGATTATCTCCGAGGTCCCTTCCAGCCCTAATGTCTATGAAATCTATGAAATACACACACACACACAAACACACAGATTAATGTGATATGCCTGACTCAGCTGGGTTGATCAGCATGTATAGGGTGACACCCTCATATGCCAGGAATCAGTTCATTAAGGTAACAGTAAAATCAAGTCAGACACAAGCCCACAGGTGAACAGAATACCTCTGAATCCAGCTGGGTGTCCAGCTGACACCCTCATGGGCCAGCATTCAGTTCATTAGGGCATGTCTGAGCCAAACTGTGTCAATCAGCCTGTACAAGCTGATCCCCTTATGTGTTTCAAACTTAGCCAATCCCAATCTTTTTCCCTAACTGTCCTAGTAGTGGTAGCCTCTTGATAAACGGACCTCATAGTATTTCTGGGCTTCACAGGGATCTTTGGCTTAGGTAAAAGTAGCGTTGCTGCACAGCAAGTAAGGAAGCAAAGTAGAGAAGGAAAAATACACCCAGTTACCACCAATTTGACTATAAAAGTTATTTATTGCTAAGTATATGAAATTTATAATGTACTAGTAGTAATAGACATGCAAGGAAAAACAAAACAATTACAATATTACCCTGGTTTAATTGAGTATTTGGGGAGACCTAGCTCAAGCTTAACTAATACAATTTAGGTTTAGAAAGCTATGCCTAGAAAGAAAAAGAAAAAGAGAGAGAGAAAGAGAGAGAAAGACAGAGAGAGAGAGTGAGAGCTGGGATCTCACCGTTCCAAGCTACTCGGGTGATTTGTTGACAAGCAAAGTTTCTAACATGATCGTGGAAGAGAGACGATCTGTTCTCTCAGCTTCTTGAGAACAACAGCGGATGGTGTCAGAGAGATTTCTCTATCTTGAAGCACACTGTTTGCTCCTTTATAGCTTTCTTATACCCTTATTCCAGCCTCTTCAAAGCATTCTTTTAATTATGTAAATCAAGAGGGTCCCAAGCCATAATTGACAGGGAAAATCCTGTTATATAAACAGTTTCAATTTAAATGAATTCCCTTTTTCAGTGACAAGGGATTATCTGGTTTGGAACATCTCAAGAAACTGATTAACAACCAGGAAAAACATCAAGTTTTAAGGAATAACCAGACACCTAGGAGCCAGCTTGAAATTATTATGAATACAGAAGATATACTGGAAGGGATACCCCATTGTTTCTTCTCAGATGGCCTATTAAACTTTTCTTCTGCTTAGTTCTGGGTAGATGAGGTGTGTGTGTGGGGGGAGGGGGGCGGGAATAGAAACAGTCCTGTGCAAGTCCAGCAAGCTGGGTGCCAGGGCTCCCTCAGGAACACAGAGCTGACAGGTAACAGCCTGTCTAGCTTATCATCATGGAGGGTAAGATGTTAGAGAAGATGTGTACACCATTGTTGCAAAATGTGTTTTATTTTTTTTAAGGGTTTTGTTTTGTATCTAATGTTAAAATAGACGGGTGTTAAGAAAGCTGTTTTATCATGGAATATTACGTGCAAGGACTCCAAAATGAAAAAAAAATATTTGTCTAAACTCCAAGCTGCTGGGCAAATGTGGCTGACATGCAGTACTGTAATTCTGGGCGTAGTATAAGAATTCTGCCCTAGGGTAGGTAAAGGCACAAGAGATGTCACCTAAGGAAATAGATTCAGAGCCTAAGAAAATGGTATAGCAGACCCTGTAACCATCATAAGTAGGTATGTATACTCTAGTGCATTCTAAAAATCATTTTGGTAAAACCAAAATAATAGAATTAAGATTACAGGCTAACATTAATGTACAATTCATGTTGCTTTGCACCATAAAGCAGGGACAGGGAGGTCTTAGCACATAGGATAAGACAGTAGATCTTTCTTGTTGCAGATTTTTTTCTTTTTAGAGCAACTTCCCTTATTTTGTTTATATGTGATCTCATACCAGTTGTTCAACTAGATAGGGAAAGAACAAACAACGTTTAAGTGACCAGTAACTTGCAACAAGTCCCCGTTAAGTAATACTGCTTTCTTAAAACATATAAACCCCTGTTGTGCTATATGGCACAGGAGATGAAGCAGTTGGTATTAAATTACTGTAAAAATGCACAGTGGGAAATTATCTGCATATAGTTTCACATCAGGGGAACTGCAGAGAGAACCATACAGTACAGAAAAACTCACAGATTCTCAACAGTTAGTAGTCACCAGCATGAGACTGGAGGCCAGACAGTCAGGACTACAGGCAGTCCTCGGACTTATGACATAATTGGTTCCTGAAAAATGCGTCCTAAGTCTAAACGTTGTAACTCAGAACCATTTTTCCCATAGGAAACAATGTTATAAATGAGGATTGGTTGCTGAAGCAAGGCCTGATACCCTATTTTCACCAAAAATAACTCAGAATTTTGTACTCAATCAATTATAGATGAATAATATAGCTACATTAATATATTTATATTGTAAATAGCAATCATATTGATTTGCAAGGACTTCTTTGAGGTGACTTTACTGGACTTTTTGAAGGGTTCTTGGCTGGAATCTTCTCAGGAGTCTTGGCTGCAGGTTATTCTGGAGTCTCGTCTGCTTCCTTAAAGAAAGTGTCCAAAGAAGTTTGGACAGATGTTCTCCAGGGAGATGGGCGACACAGCAAACTTGTTTGCTGACGTGGCATCACGTCAGATCGAGCATTGTAAAGTCGAAACTGATGTCATAAAGTTGAAACAGGGTGTCAATTTATAAATGTTGTAAGTGCGAAATGTTGTAACTTGAAACGCTGTAAATCAAGGACTGCCTGTATGCGGCTTCTCAAAGCTACAGATGTAATAATTTGAGATCCTATCATAAACCAGTAGCATAGCTCGGGTGGCATGACTGGGGCAGCTGCCTTGGATGCCAGCTTGAGGGGGAAAAGACCTGCTGCCGCCACAACAGCACAATCACGCCAGCAGCACCTGGAAGTCACAGCTACCCCAGGAGCCTGCTTCTGTCACAAGTTACTGCTGCTGAGATAAAGGTGGCAGTTCCTGAGCATACAAGGATAGTTGCACCTTTTTTTTAACATCTGTGGGCACATCTACATGAGACGCTATGTCAGCATAACAATGCAATGTGGAGACATAGTTCATCGTATGGCAACGTAGCATCAGCAGGCACAAACCGTGGTGTCAATGCTACATCACCGTAGTGGCAAGCTATCTCACTATAGTGCGTCGCTATGGTGACGTAGCTGGTAAAAATAACCGTTACTGCGCTGTCATTCAGTACTGCGCTGTCAACTGTTGCTGTGCTGTCATTCAGTACTTCCTAAAGCAAGTACTAAATGATGGCGCAGTAACAACTGCACCGGGGGTGGGGAGGGAGAGGCACGTGTAGACGTGCCCTGTAAGTAAGTAACCAAAGATTACTTTGGCAGTACAAGAATTTACTTCATAAAAATTCCTAAGCTGAGCCTTCCACTGACACCTCTGCATAACACAACTGCAGCATAGACATTTTCTGTGCTGCCAGCAAACTATGTATTAGCTATCTTCAATGAGCTTCTAGCCAACACACCAACTGCTCCATATCCAGGGGGTTGGTTGCGCCTATGACAGATGGCAGGTTCCAGCGTTCTGGTTTGTCATCTCTCTTTGCAGGAGACACATGTCTGTGGCAGGAGACAACACACACAGCTCTTAAAAATTGTTAAAGACAGCATGAGATTCTATTTTTTTTTGGTAAAGAGATGGAAATTGTGATTTATGACACTCTTGTATGTATTAAGTGCTAAGAAAGCATTATCTTGTTATAACAAAATAATCGTATTAATTTGCACTGCAACAAAGGAAAACAGTTCATATGCATTTATTTGCGATAAAGAAGTATGAATGTGATAAGCATTATTCATATAGTACATTATTATATAAATAGCTATTGTTAAACAAAAGCAGATGTTACATATGCATTATATTTTTTCCTGTGTTTGTATTTAGGAAATACAGACACTGGAAATTGAAAAAATGGGAAATTGGAAAAATGACGTCAGGACATCACACACATTGACTGATTCTGTAGTTGGCTGTCTATAGGGACAACAGTTCATTCATACCGCATACTGTCAACTGCAGGATCTGACACTATCAGCATTAGTCCACACCTCTGAATATTTTTTTTTGTCAGTAGTGGGATGAGAATGCACTAGAGACTTCATAAACATTTCCCATGGAAATACTGACTAGAATAAAATATTTCTGAAGATTTCTAACCAGCATTTTCTTATAATGTTTGCCAAAATACTGGTAAATGAGAAGAAAATATTCTAATTAGCACTGTTTGTTTTTTTCACTGAAATTCTCAAGATGGGATTTCTCAAACACCATGCTTTTTATTCAATTGATTTTAGATGGAGAAAAACTGTACAGTAAATTAAGCAGTTCTGGACTTAACAGTTGAACAACATAGAAGCTCTACATATCCCTTTCTAGTCCCTCATTTAATGATGCAATGTGGTATTTCAGTGCATTCTACATGACAAAAGAAAAATAACCCCTGCTTTTAATTATTTCTGTGACCGCACTGAAACATAAAAAATACTGTTTTGTTTCTACTAATTTGTCTGGGTTTGAAGCGCACCACTTAGCCAAACATTATCCCCTGTGACTGATAACAACGTTAATGGACTAATATTAGGAAATCCCTACAGAGAATATATTTTAACCTGTATCTAGCAAAGCTCCCTTCGCTACTGTTCTGCTTTCATGCAGAGATTGTTCCTACTGATTAGTTTTACATTCAAACATTCTCAAGAGTGATGTTATATTGTGCATGTCAGAACGTTAGTTTTGAGGTTAACTGTAAAAACAGTGAAGATATTTTAAAATATTATTGCTATATTCTGATGCAAAAATAATTTAGAGGGGATAAAAATAACAAATAGATTTGTGCTTCATTGGTCACTACTCATTTATGGCCTTGTTCAACTAAAAATCATCTTACACAACATTGACATCTACAGATAGAAGGTTATAGAGGCTTGCAGCTTCCAAAGCCTTATATAACCCTAATTCTTTTTTTATTTATTTCTAAAATTGAATTTCATTACTATCCTAAAGTATTGAAGTATTTACATTTGTTATTGTAACATTTTGCAATTGGCTGTTGCTTTGTGCTACTGCATGCATTCCTTGTTCTGTGTTTTAAAAATAATATCCGGATGAAATTTATATTTTTTCAGGTGCTGCATGCTAGCAAGCCAAATAGCAACATTTTCTACTCAATACCATGCCTACTTTACATAAAAGTGCACTGTTAATAAGAAATATATAAATTCATAGTCTGAAGTAAAGATATCCTTCAACCTGTAGGGACAACGGAAATAAAATGTACCCTGTTCATTATATAGCACTGTATTACCTAACAAGATAATGTTACTATTTTGACATTCTTTTCATTATAGTGTACATAACACATCACAAAATCAGTAGACTATTACATGAAATCAGTAAGACTGAGAGTGTTTGGCCATTATAGACCCACATAGTACCTCTCATGTAAAACTATAATTCACATTATACCATGTCACAGCTGCTATTGATAATTTTATTATTTTTAAATGACAGTTTTGTTGGCTCATAAAGACTTACTTCTACACTCAGCATGTAATTGTTGTGCTACACAAAACATATTTTCATCTTTGATTTAAACATAAGCTTCATTCAATACTCATTATCTGAAAGCAAATTCATATTGTAGCACAAAGAATTTCTCTCCCACCATATTTTGTTTCATTTTAAATAAACTACATATCTTAAAATAAATATAAACATAAATATATTTAAAAATACATTATTAAAATGCACTTTTATAGGCAGATGACAGTGTAGGTCATCCCTTAAATAAAATACACTGTGGAAAAGTGGCTGGAAATACACTTATAGTTAGGTTAGCAAATCAAGTGAAAAAGCCTATATTGGCTGATGCAGGTACAAGATACAAGATCTACCTATGTGAAGGTGCTTTTCATTCAAGGTATATAGAGAAAGAATAGCTTTAGTTAGATGTTGGAGTTTTTCTTTCTGCTTTTTTATCTCAGCATATCTCGACTCCGAAATTGCTTCCGTAGCTCTCTGAGGTGTTTGCTTGTAACAGTCATCACACAAGCATAGTAATCCTTCAAACCATATTTTGGGGGTCCCTGTTAAGAGTGAACAAGCACACAATTAGAAATAGACACTGTGCACTAAATTCCTTACCACTAGATTCAATTTTACAGGCATTCATACAAACCAGGTGGTATGCTTCTCATTACTATATAACACTGAAGAATCGACTTTTCCCACAACATAGAGAAGAGCTATGAATTTAGCTGGATGGAAATAGGGAGTTTCCAGAACTATGTCACTTCTCTTTCCTTGATCCCCACCCAACTATATTTATTCAGCCATAGCTTAGTTTACATTAATAGTTACAGAAAAAAGAATATCCTCTGTGTTCAGGAATCCCTTCTTTTAAAGATATATATCACTATTATTTCTTCATTTTTACAATTATACCATAAATACATATTTTAACACAGTATAATAAAAATACCAATAATTATTGGTATTTATGGGATCATATTTGGTGTCAACCAATACCATGAATGTAGACAACTGACATACAGTCTTCTTTATACTGTGTTACCTCAATCCTAAACAGTTACTACTACAGTTCTGTAATGCTGGCTAGTACCCATGAATGGGAAGGAAGGATAACCCAGTGCTTGGTCAGCAGCCCATCCTGGAGCTAAAGAGGGTAGGGTTCAATTTCTTACTCTGTGCAACAGTGAGCTAGGGCTCCTGTTACTTTAAGAGAGTGAAACTGCAGCAGAAGGAGCCCAGGCAGCTGAGCAGGGGTCAGCTGCAAGAGGAAAGGCAAGCCTTTCATCATGCCCATAATGAAAACTCTTGTGGGTGGCTGGGGAAGGGCAGGGATTGGGGAGCATATAAGCCCAGGGCCTGAGACAGGGCAGCCATTCTAGCTTTGCAAACTGAAGGGGAAAGAGCCCTAGGAAAGGAAGGCTACAGAAGAATTCCTGGCTGATATCTGGGCTATCCTGGGGAAAAAGCAAGGAGGATTCTGCTGGCTTGCAAGGGGATACGACTCAGGGCAGAGTGGAGTTTGTGGTACAGCTAAGGAACTAATGTTTTGGTGCAGACTCAGCATGGAATTGTGTTTTGACCAGAGAACTTTTTCCCTTGTTATAGTTTAAACTGGTGGTTTGGGTGGGGAGTATCAGGAGTGTAGGAAGTCCAGCAGTGCCCAGAACAGGGTGGGACAGGGCCAGAGAGTGCCTGAGAAAGCATGGATATCAGGGCCAAGAGTCAAAGTAGATGAGATAAAGGCAGGAGCCTTGAAGCCAGGTCCAGTGCAGTGGGCCTGGGCTGGAAAGTCTAGAGAAAGTTAAGGAGTAAAGGTCAGGGAGACTGATGCCCAGCAAGAGAGAGTGACTGAATGGCACCATCTGTGAGGCATGGGTGTGGCTACACGGGAGGTCAGAGGCCACAAAATTAGCCCTTAAGGTGATTAGTGCCCTGGGGACACAAATGGGCCAAGAGGGCCTACTTAATGGTTAAGGGGCAGGATCGGGACCACTGGGGTCTGAAAGGGACCTGCTGGTCAGAGACAGACGAGGGCTAAATCTGGAAACTGAGGGCAGCTTTCCTATTCACCCTTCAACTCATTATAATCAAGGTCTGGCAGGAAAGGGAAAAGGAAGGGGACCCAGGGAGCTGGATCAGAGCAGAAGTCACAAGGCTATCAGGGGGTGTCACAGGTGCCCCTGGGACCTGGCACTGTAGACTTCTTGTGTAATACTGACAAAGCATGGAATCTATTCCTTTGTTCCTTATTTCACTAGCATAAATAATCAGGGCTAAAATTGTTTTAATTTAGAACAGATATCCAGTGTCTTGAGACAAATGACTGGAATGTCAAAGGGACACACTACCTTACTTTGGTTAAAACAACTACAGAAATTTAAAAAAATATTGTGGCATCTCAGATATAACAATCTTGGAGTTTATGCAGGTTTCACTATGCCATTTATAAAACTGAAGCATTAGATAGTAAAGCCTGAATTCCACTTGGTTTTATTTATTTTCTATTGTATACATATAAAAGCTTGGAATATTACACAAATATATTAAAATGTTTTCTCCCTCTGTTTTTTTTAAAGGACAATTAAAATGAAAAGGACACAACCACAGTAACATAACATAGCCTGTAAATGAAATAGCAGAAACAACACTTGGGTGAATGGATTATCACCTTGCAAGAGATTTATGGTTACTGTTTAAAAGTGAAAAGAATTCATGTATTTCCAAGGAAGTCTGTTGTACTATTTAAAGAAAGTAGACAAATAGATTGCAAACATTCAATGAAAAACACATTAACTGATTTCCTTATTAATGTTTTAATTTTTTTTAAATTTAACAAATAGGTCCATCATTTATTGTTGGATAAAAATAAGTATTTTTAATAATTCACTAAGCTACACTATCCACAAACTTCTAAAGTATCCATTGATGCTATATCTATCTAGTCAGTATATTAAATTAAGAGAAAGCACATTTTCCCTTCACAAACACTTTCCAATATTTCCACCCTTTTCTAAATTAGTGTTTCATTTTAGTTCTTGCTTTTTCAGACTGTTTACTTTAAACAGACTCATATTATATAATGACATGCTCCTAGGTCAAATGCCTGATTAAAAAATGGGTCTTACAATGTGTCCTTGAGTGGCAATCCAATGAGAAATGCCAGGATGAAAAACTACCTTGTCTTATCAGGTAGCCTGCAAATCTAGCACATGTAGATGAAGACAATTTCTTGATGGTGTCTGAAGGTTCCTGATACGGACTTCCCCAGACTGCTTCAATGAAGCCCCCTGCAACTTAGGGGATGTTTTCATAAGAAAAAAGTCAGCATAACTGTAGCATCTAATGTGGAGGCATGTATTACCTTTATATTAACTACCATACATAACTATACTAGTGAAGATGTAGTTATACATGCTTCAGTTGGGGCCAGCAACCTCAGTACATACCCAGAGTACTTGTTTGGGTTGCTAGCTCATTCTACAACTACTTTACCATTCACTTTTATTTTAACTCCTGCTAGATTGATTGAAGTGACTTGTGCTACGCCTAAGCATCTCACACTTACAAGTCTTCTTGATCTAGAGACATCCTAGGAGAGAGTTTGACAGGTGGCACACCTTTCAAAGTACTATTCCTAACCATTCACTAACATACAAATTACAACATGGAACACATTCAGCACTGATATACACACATTCTCTGCAATCTTAGGAGTTCATTAGGGCAGTGGTTCTTAACCATTTTTGTACCAGGACCCATTTGTAAACATCAACGGCCAGTCCCAACTCACTGCCCCTTATTCCTGACCAACTGCCCAGAACTCTGCCAGCCTGCAAGTAAAAAGCCATGACCTTTAATGGAGAATCCATTTTTAAAGTTTGTCTGTGACCCTTTCATATAGTCTTGAGACCCACTTTTGGGTTGTGACCCACGGGTTGAGAAATGCTGCATTAGGGATTGTACAGAATATATAATCTGCTAGGGATTCCTCATTTTTATCAATGGGTTATAACTGTCAAGAAACTTCTATACCATTTCACCCCAATAACAGAGCTATGACAGCACTGTTAAGCTAGCCATAAACTCTTGAAACAGCTTCACTGGTAGATAAATGAACTGACAGATGGAGAAGTAGAGACTGGTTTCTCAGTTTCCGTGCATTTTCATTCTCTGAAACAAAATCAATCTGCAGAAAGTATTAGATAATGACCCCATTTCTTCTGTTACTGGTTTCAGGGACAAAAGTATAATATGAAGCAGGAAGTAGAGCTAAGAGAACTACAATTAGATATCATTCTGAATCTCTCGTTTCTATTTTTTTCAGTATTAAATTACTCCAAATATTAGTACCACTTATTCTGCTCCAAAAATTCTGGATCCAAGCTTCAGCTTTTGTAAGTCAGCATAGCTCCACTTCCTTCAGTAGAATTATGTTCATTTTTACCTGAGGACTTGGCATATAGTAAGCTTGTTAACATCCCTACTGTGGCAGGTTCTGGAACGAAAGGGCCTAAAGCATGTCTTGCTCACACATGCCTCTGATGCACTCAACAACTGGAAGTTTGCCTGTAGGGCTGCTCTAAGCTGCCCTGTCCTAGGCATGCTGGAGACAGAGGGCTAAAGAACAGAGCCTGGAGCAGCCTCACTAATGAACTTCCTGGTTTGGAACATGCCTGAAGGCACAGATGGCTAGGGTATGCTCAGGCCCCACAGTGCCTGGACCTGCTGGCACAGGAGCATAGACAGACCCTTTGTTAAAACTTCTATAGTGAAACCTAAGGCTTTCTAATAAGAACAAGATATGCTCGTCCCCTCTGTCGCCTGGCTCAGTCCATAGCCAGTAATCAAAAGATAAATATATCTATAACCTCCTTTGATGCTTATTTCATTTCATTTCAATTTCATTTAAAATTAGATGTTCTTCAGCTATGCAATCTGCAAATATAATTTTTTCACCCAAAATTCTGACAGAAAAGCAATTAAAAGAACTAAACAATAAACTAAACACACAACTGTGTCATGACTACTTTATTTAATTCCAACCCCCCAATATGTGCTGTCTACCTTTTTCCCCAGTATCTGAGTTACGACAACATTAAAACAGGACCTGAAATGCCATTTTCTAAGGAGTGGTAAATCGAATTCACCTTTACTTTGCCTGTCTTAGCGAAGACTGAGCAACTGTGGCAGATATCTAACATTAACTATTATGAGTCAAGCATAGTTGTAAAATGTTAACTCTTTTATTGTAAGAAACACTGAGTATTGGGAAAACAGAAATGGTTAAGTATTGAGAATATTAATTACAATATGTAAATCTCTGCAATCTTGACTATGAAATATGTATAGTAAATAACAAATAAAGTAAGAAAATATAACCAGAAATTAGTTTATAGAGTTAATGTTTATAAGCTGAGCTTTCTCAAAATGAATTGTCCTGGTTTCCTCCTTCCCCAGCCAAATTTCTATGACCCAGCCTTTTAATTCTCATCATTATTTCTTGCCTACCCTGATTTGAAGTTCACTCCGTAGAAAATATTTCAGGAAATTCATG